ATATTTTCGCCTGCTGCAACGAGGCACGTATCACCGGCATACTGGTATATTTCGCAACGTCTGATGATGTTTGCCAGACTATTAACATAGGTAATGTAATGCAATGGTCCAATTACAGAGCCTTGTGCAGTGCCTATCGAAGAGTTAACATAATAACTAATGGCATCACCCACTTTTACCGCATATTTTCTGTCATTAAGGTAATCTCTGCATCATGATAATAAAGGTCCTCTGATACCACTATCATTAAGACTGTCTATTGGCTTGTTATGATTAAGTGTATCAAACGCTTTAGTATAGTCTACAAAGACTACCAAGAAGTGTGTTTTATTATCTAAATGTTTGTAAACGCTGTAAGTGAAGTTCGATAAGAGTTGAGTGGTATTTTTCTTTGTTTGAAAGCCATACTGTTTTTCCGTTATTATATTCTTTTTAGCGTAGAAGTCATAAACCTGTCTGCAGATGTATTTTTCAGCAATTTTATCTATAACGGGTAAAATAGTAATTGGCCCATATGGCCCTTCTTATAGATAGACTTTCCACTTTTTATACAGGCATTAATAAGGTTCGCAATTACGTCACTGACTAAGTTGCATTTTTTTTATGTCTATAGGTCGTATCCCGTCAATACCTGGCGCTTTATAACAGTTTAGGTTGCGTACTATTTTTCTACTGCATTAGCATTAGCAGGTACAAAGTGTAAGGAGACATTCGCGTTGTCACTATACAATGACTTATCGAATAAAGGCAGATTACATTTAGGGATTGATTTTTTGACGTTTACGTCGAAAGATTCAGCAAATGAACATGCAATCTTATATGGAGGATAATTACTGTTACCAAAGTTGTCGAGCAATACATCATCAATCGGTTTTGTAATTTGTCCCGTTAATTTATTTAATATCTGCCATAGGCTTCTAGGATTATGTATGTTCTTATTAATTTCTAATTTAAGCCATTTATTTTTACTTTTTTGAATCACTGTGTTTGCATAAATTCGTGCCTTATTGTAAGCTTGCTTTAAAATACTATTTCTAAAGTCTTTTGTCCATAGATTTTTTTTGTTCATCCATTCATTACCAATTTTTACATTTTATTTTACATTAGTTTATTGAATTTGAAATTTTGTTCTCAATGCAATATTCGCCGACCAAGAGATGCCCCAAGTGTAAACCTCTTAAAAAGTGGATTATGAAGTTTCGTGAAACGGATTCTACCATTAATCAACCCATTCTAGGCCATACACCTACTATATCAACCCAGGAAAATGTCCGCCGAGTAAGTGATTCGGGCCTTGCAAATCCGCGGTGTTCTTTACGGAAGCATTCGGCTGTTTTAGGAATCCCTAAATCAACAGTTCACGTCATAGTTAGGAAAAAGATGCGTTTTCATCCCTATAAAATACAGTTAGTGCAAGCTTTAAAAGAAAGTGATTACTTATTATGGAAATCTTGTGCTGAAAAGATGTTGGAAATTTTTCTACACAGTGTAGACTCAATAATGTTGTTTTTAGCGATGAGGCCCATTTTCGTTTGGAGGGCTATGTAAATAAATAAAATTGCAGATATTGGGCACCAACGAACCCAAAAGACAGACATCAATGACAGTTACGTAGTCCAAAGTTGACTGGTTGGTGCGTCATAACCTCTAGTGGGGTTATTAGGTCGGTTTTTTTTTTGAGAATGAGAACGGTCATGCTTTGACGGTCAATTAGGAGCGATATAAGAACATGATCGACAATTTTTTTGCTCCTATTGTAAGAACGGCCGTTTAGAAAATGCCGTTTTAAGAGAAACACATGGTTCCAACAGGATGGAGCCACTTCTCATACCTCCAGAGAGTCGATGGACACGGTAAAGGCACTTTTTCCACAAAAATTGATATCGAGATTTGGAGACATCTGCTGGCCATCCAGGTCGCCCGATGCCACCCATGTGATTATTTCCTTTAGGGCTATCTAAAGTCAAAAGTTTATTCAAACAAACCACGAACACTAGCGACGCTAAAAGAAAATATCCGGCAAGAAATAAACAATATCTCCCCGCAACTCCACAAGAAAGTGTTTGAAAATTTGCGTGTCCGATAAGAAGAATGTGTACGAAGAGAAGAGATGGTACACATTTGGATTTGGAAAACCCGCTGAGTTTCTTAATATTGTCAAATTAAATAAATATTTTGCATTCATTCATTTCATTGCTTAGTATTCTTTTTCCTAAATCGAAAAATGAACTTTCCTACTGGAAACCCTGTAGATTAGATTGTCTATGCGTCGAAAGTGACCTCCGTCCCTCATACCATTTTGTAACGTTTATAAAGAAAGATAGTCGAAAATAGTACTAAACTATATAAAACGTTAAAGTCTTCAAATATGTCATATTTTTAATACAAATATTGTAAATGAATCTAAATTTTCGATAAAAATAATACTTACTTTTAATATACTTTACTAATGCGGTCTATATTTTCATAATTGAAAAAATCCATTGCAATTTTATTGTCATTGCCTTTCGGAGCAAAACAAGAGTTGTTGATTGTTGTCACTTAGTATACCCTTTGTTTTATTATGTTCCATATATATTCGATAGGGTTCAAATCACAATGGTAGGGTGGCAGCCGTAATACCTCGTGTCCATGCTCCCTCATGAGTTCGTCCACTACATATTTTTTCGGTGGTTTATTGAGCAGTATTATATGATACAGTTCCGGTTTCGTCATTTTTTCATTAAAACGAATGTTGTTTTTCCGAAGCCAACTCTGCATCTCACCTTTCAGGGACGAGCTCGCGGGTGGTTTTTCAGACTGCGTTGAGTGGTAGGGAGCATTGTCTATAACGACGAGACTGTTTTGAGGTAAGTTTGGAATTAGTTTTTCTGTCAACCACTTTTTAAAGTTTTTACTATCCATTTCGTGATGGTAGTCCCCGGCATTACTTTTGCATTTGTAAAGCAATTCGGCACCAGGGATAAAGCCGTTTTCACCGCCAGCGTGCACCAATATCCACCGCTGTCCTGGATTATCATTTTTTCTAATGCTTGCGTCATTGTTAATTTGCCAGCATTTAGTATAGTGGGAGTGAATCCATGTTTCGTCTAAATAAGTTACGGGTTTTTTGTCCACCCCAAGTTCATTGTTTTCTTTCTTCCTTCGTAAATAACGGGCTCTCCAGGCAGCAATGTCTGGCTTTTGTATTAAGACTTGTCTTGCGTTCTTACATTTTTTTTAAATTTGTACCCCAAGTAGTCAACGAGTATTCGTTGTAACGTGGTTTTTTCACCTGTAAAATAAAGATTTTATTTTTAATTTTTAGTTATCGCGTGGTATTTTTTCAAAAAATAATTTAAAATTAAATATCTTAGAAATGGTTCACTTTTGCATATGGGTGTTGTTGCAAATTACCAGTTCTAGCACCCTAACAAGATTATGCTTGAATTAAATGTCACCTTGTATATGATATGACCTAAAGGATGATATACAATACATATAAAAAATGTCAATAAATATGGGTACGTACCTGGAAAATTTAGATCTGCTTTTGCAACCGTTAAAATCTCTTTCAATGTTGGAATTTCTTTCCGTACTGTATAGAAACTGTTGACAAGGTTTCTTAGAGCACACAGATCAAAAATGTCGAGTTCAATTTTTTTTGAGCTCTGTTTCCTTTTTTTCCTGGAGTTGATAGTTTAAGTTCTGGTCTTGCTTGAGAAGTACATGGTTCCGATACTACTGTGACATCATCATTTTGGTCTTGAGAAATTGACTGAACTTTTTTCGCCTCGTTTTTCATTCTTAGTAGTGTTGCCTTTGATATGCCTGTTGCTGCACAAGCCCTCTTTAAAACTTGGTCCACAGGAATAAGAAACTTTTTATTTGATTTTTCATCTTCGAAAACTTTTAAAACTTTTAGAGCAAGTGTCCGTGCTTGGCTATGTATTGTCTTTCCCCCCATCTTTTTTAAAAATAAAAAAGGCGGAGTAACTCCTAAGCGTCACAAGAAAACGGCACAACACAACGTCCAAACTTAACAATAAAACAACGCAATTAACAACAAACAGATAAAATAACGTTCAAGTATAACAAAAACAAACAAAAGTCCAAACCAAACAACAAACAATTATCAAAAATATCGAACTAGAGTCGAGACGCGTATCCGTAACAAAAATGCTATCGGTACTGAGCGCGCACGGCCAGCGCGGGACGCGGTGCGGGGAGTCGGGAAGGGGGTCGCATTCCAGCGGAGTCTCAAGTTAATTCGTACGTGTTGTACTTTTATTAGTTTGTGGTTGTCACTAAACTTAAATCTTTTTTGTGTGATATAAATAAACTAACAATGGCAATTCCCGTGGCGAGTACAGCTATTCAAGTTATTTAATTGTTACATCTAGATTTCTTTGAGTTTAGTACCTAATAAGTTTGTTGATTATTAAAAATATATTCATACTTCTGTGAGCAAAGAAATTTAAAAAAAAAACGATCGCAAATGTACATTAAAAGTTTTACCTATTTACTCTTGTCTTCATTGAAACTAATTTTAGATATATTTTTTTTGTATTTCAGCAAAAAAAGATCACGTGTTTCTTACGAGCAGCGTGAAAAAATGTTTGAATTTATGGTGGTGTATCCCTATTTACCAGATATTGGGTTGCAGGAGCAGATGCTGCCCGTAGGAAATTAAAACTGCAGGCTCAACTAGCCACAATCCTAAACAGCTGTGCCACAGGAGCAACAAAAAGCACAGAAAAATGGCTGTGTTTAGGTGCTACAAATTCATACATGTGTAGTGCTAGTCTAGTGGATCGCTTAATGCCAATTATGTTCTGTATGTCTACAAATGTGCCTTCTAACCTTTATTAATACAAATATTTATATAAATATCCAGCAGTATGAGTCCACAATAGAATAAACTCATTCTAAAGAAATGTGCATCTGCATATTCTTGAGTATGTACAATCTGATAGAGATCCCTAATCCCATTTATAAGTGAGAGAAGTAGGAAGGATATTATGCAGTTTCATTTCGTTTTGTCTTTACACATTCCTGAAGGTAATGCAGAAGCAGAAGCAGAAGCTGGTGGTGATGAAGCCAATGACCATATTCCGGTTGTGGATGATAGAAAAACAACGAAAAACCGTAATTATATTGATTAATTTTTATTGTTAGGTTATTATTTCATGTCTTAATATGTTGTATATTGTAGAAGATAGACTTGTGCAGTGCAACCGTACGTTTTAGTGTGTAAGCGATTTATTAAGGTCAATATAATTTGCGTCATTTACTTTAGTTTTTGAGCAGTTGACGTTGCCGCTCCGAACACGGTAGATGCGTTCGATATCATTATCAATATCATTATATAATATCATTATTTTGAATAAAATCATTTTTTCCTATATCAACTATCATTTAAAGGTGTTCCGTACATCTTTATGGTCCTTCTAGCTCCGTAACGGGACCTGAAATTCGGGTTTTAACGAACGGAAAAGTGTTTCCGCTCAGTGACCTATTGCGACATAGTGCACTAAGGGACGTGTGCAATAGATTTTCAGTCTGTATTAATAAGTGTGCAGCATCATATCATTATCAATAAGCTCCGGCCATAGGTGTCACAAAGCATCAAGGATCAAGCAGCATTTGTAGGCGTAGCGAGTCTTGGGGCGCCGCCCAGCAATAGCAGCTTGGAGCGCATCAGGAGGATCTAAGTCTTCGTTGGGTACTCACCATTACAGCACGAACGCGCCAACCACCTCTACAAAATCAGCAACCAGTATCACATCAAGTAAGATCTTTCAATTTTACATATGATGTCTGTCAATGATGTCCTCACTACGCAGCGACAGCTATCAACAGCAATTGAAAATTTGTATACTAATTTCAAGAAGGACGGGTCTGATAGGAAGACTCCAAACTATATCAAACGCAGGTATAATACTCTTGTTTACGCCCGATTGTTACAAGCTGCAGCTTGCGGGAGGCGCATCTCGAGCGGCAAACCAGTTACCGTTTCGCGGGAGGGGGGCACTCGCTATGCGTATGCGACGCTGCCAGCGAGCGCAGTCGGCAGGAATCTTTGAGCGCTGAGGCCGTGCCGGTGGGGGTCGCGAGATTAGCCTAGAACCTAGCCTAGAACCTAAGCGAGCCGTGTCGATTAGAAGTCGCGAGTTTTTGATAAGATTTGCCGCGTCGCATAACGACGGCCTTCATGGTGTTGTATTTTGTCGTTAATATACGTGACAACAAGGTCTTTTTTGAGTTAAGATTGAATATTTTAACTTCGATGGGTATTAATTTGCGTCGACGAGTGGCTTGTGTAGTTAATTAAAGTTAAAATAAATTAGTTAAAGTGAACGAAGGAAGTTTGCTTTGCCGTGTGGAACACTAAACTTTGTGACCCGGGTAAAGATCGCGCTAGATTATAGTTAGTGCTACGTGCCGTTGGACCTTAGTTCTGATAGCGGCGGGCGCCCTCTGGAGTGATTGTGCTTTGTGGAGCGTGGCAACGCATGCGGTTTTGCTTAAAGGTTACATCGGTGACGTCAGGTTACATTAAACACTTTCCTACACCACACACACATACCATTTACTTACCCCTGACAGTGCCTTGTGGTCGACACCACGTCCGGAGCTCGATAAGTTTGTGTTTGATTATAGCAGCCGTTATAAATTATTTATCCATAGGCCTTTTGGGCCCTCCCCTCTGTTGCTCGTCGAGTTGGATTACTATGGGCCCTAGTCCAGTCGACTTTTGTCGGGGTAACTGAGGGCCGTAACAACTCTAGACAACTATTGGTTGGAGTATGAGAAGAATTATCAGCATTTATCACAACTGGATATGGATGTACCATGCAGAGGAAGAATAGATGAAGAACGTGAAAGATTGAAGAAGAGATTTAACAACATTAGAGCGCATATCCGAAACTATTAGCCTTTGACAGAGGATAGACCTGGAACATCACTGTTAAAGCCCCTACGTTTGTCTCTAAAACAAATCCAATCACGCCACAAATAAGTACAAGATCAACATCGAGCAAAACAGAAGAAATGTTGAAAAAACAGAATAGCAATTTTAAATCATTTCAACGAACACTATGAAATATCAACCCGGAATTACTATCAGAGATATGGGAATTCGAAGACTTGTTACGTACTCTCTAGTCTCGTTGGACAGCTATCGATGCCTTACACTGGGAGCTGGATAGCGAATTGGATGGCTCCAACGAAGCGTATGAAGAAACCTTCAGCTTCTATGAACAAAAATTTAGCCAAGTCAAGAAAGATATCAATACAAGTATGTGGTCTGAAAGTCATCGAGAAAAGTCCACACCCCAGATGGACATACCTACGTTCACTGGCAATTATCATCAGTGGGTATCATTCAAGGATTTGTTTTGCGAAGCAGTTCACACCAATGGAACCTTGTCAAATGCCCAAAAATGCAGTTTTTGAAAAGTAAACTTAGAGATTATACAGCATCAGATTATTCAGCAGATTATACAGTTTGGACAACTATTAAGTTTGTTGGGATTTGTTGAATCATCGATACAATAATAACAAATTAATTTTTGGGTCTCATATCAATATTCTTTTAAATTTACCTATCGCTCAACAGCAATCAGCAGCACATATTAAGAAAATTTATGACAGCGTAAACGAAAGCCTAAATGCCATAAAAAATCTAGGCGTGGACATAAGTTCATGGGATCCTTTGGTGGTACATATTTTGTCTCAAAAACTAGATGCCGAGACTCACAAATACTACATCAAATCGAATCCCTAAATAATCCTAGAGATTTACCAACTTTAGCAGATTTTTTAAATTTTTTGGAAAATAAAGAATCATGTCCAATTCTGACCTGAAAATTTTCGAAAGCGTCTAGTGATGTAAAATATCTTATAAAATTGCTCTTTTTTTGCTTATTTCGAATCGCATAATTGAATTTTCTAATAAAGCCAGGAAAAAGAGTAATGTTAATATGTTTATCACTTTCAATAGACTTTTGGAGACGGAACGAGTTCTACAATGACTTAAAGGCCCAGAAGCCATGCCAAAACATATTTAAAAAAACGTGTTTGTCAATGACAGTCCGTCATTTGTTTGAAGTTTTGCAGTCGTTCGTTAGCTTTCCCTACGTTTTGTACTGTGCGATTTTGGATTTTCTGATACCCTTACAACTTGCATTTTCCACGGACTTCGATACCTTCCACTCACGATTACTTTGGCCTGTGTAATACGGATACCGATTTAGCTTTTTGATTGGGATCTAAGACGTTATCGTACTTGTTGGAAAGCGTTATGGAGCCTTCTACGAGAATGCTATGTATAAACTGTAACATATGTATTAATACGCTTCAGCGTTATCGGGCCCTTCAGCTTGATAGCAGAGTCATCTCGCTAATTAGCACTTGGATATCTCCAGTAATAGTAAGTAGTAATAACATACAACATATAACATATAACATACAACAATACAATAGTAGTAGTAAGATTTTACCCATGTTTAGCTAAAGTGTCCTTTAGGACAGTTGTCTAAAATAAAAAATAAAACATGTAAAAATACAAATTAAATGTGCCTATTTCAATTTATGCTTTATAATCTCATAATTGATTTATTTTTCAGATTACGGAAGAGGACTACATTTGTGAAGCGTGCTTTGATGTATCCATGCAGTCTATTAATGCTCAAATTCATGGAAACAATGAGTGTCATCCATCTGCTTGTTCATCTCGCCTTGGTCATACTCAAGTGTGCCCCGTTTGTGGTCGATCATTGCTCAATCGTCAAAGTGACCATATTCACAAAGAAAACCCATCAAGCCTCACACTAAGAATGATCAACTTAATTCGAGCTACTGTAGCACCTCGTCAGGTTTGTATTTAAATATTCAATCTCATTTTAAACTGCATGCAATTTTTTCATTAAACTTCACATTCTAATCTATGACATTACTAGGTATGTCACTGCATTTATTACAAATATGTTGTTTTTTTGTTGACAGATATCACAATATGATCGTGTATGTCATGCCTGTTGGTTGAGGTTTAAAAGACAAGCTCTTTTAACTCAACAACAGGATGAAAGAAGAGGCTTAGAAGGTGATGAGACTCCTCACGGTCAAGAAGAAGTGGAACAGCCTGTTGATGCAGTTCATGTTCCAGAATTACAACCTCCCCCGTTTCTTGCAAGTACAGATGAAAGGGATTCGTCTGTAGAATCAGTTGCAGCTCCAGAGGTTCATTCGCTACAATCTCAAACCCAACAATCAAGTAACATTACATTACATAATTATAAACGTGCTCCCAATACAGCATCTCATTGTGCATTTTATGGGTGTGAAAATGAAAATCTGCATACTGTGTCAGATGCACTGCGGGCTACCATTTTGTGCAACTACAATTTTTATATTCCCAAACTGGCAAGAGTATGCACATACCATTTACATGGAAACAGTTGGAGTTCCCTTTATACCAGTGAAAACAGCATGAGCGATTTCACTGTTGAACAAGTTGAGCATGTTTTTTCCTTTGTTCAAAAATACAAGCATTTTCTCGATTTTTTCAAGCATAGAATCATTACAAGAAATTGACGACAATTTATTTGAATTTTGGATTGGCTTGTCAAAATTGAAATTCCTTAATTTGTTAGAAGACCTTCCCCGACTGTTGGAAAAACATAGGGGTGTATTAGGTCTAGCTGCTGTATTGATAAAGATGCGGACAGGTGATTCCGACTTAAGAATATCAACATTGCTAGAAGTTCCTCGTACTACACTAGAGAGGTTAATGCAAACAGCACGAGAGGTACTGCTACAGGATTTTGTTCCATGTAACCTTGGAATAAATCACTTGCCGAGAGAACAATTAATAGAACACAATCTAATCATTCCGAATGGAATTTACAATGAAAATAATAAACAATGTATTGTGATGTGTGATGGAACATACATTTTTTTAAATAAAAGTGGCAATTATATGTTTCAAAAAGACACATATTTTTTACACAAATATAGAAATCTGTTAAAGCCATTTTTAATAGTTGCCTGTGACGGTTACATTTTAGATTGTTTTGGCCCATACAAAGCTACTACATCTGATGCCGATATAATGTCTTCTTTGTTCAGCAACGAAAATTCCCCACTGAGACAATACTTTCAAGATAATGACATATTTATTTTAGACAGGGGATTCAGAGACAGCATCAGCTTATTGGAGCATTGTAATTATAAGGCATATATGCCAGAGTCACTTTTGGAAGGTGAACACCAGTTAACCACCACCCAAGCAAATAGAAGTAGATGTGTAACTATTTGCAGATGGGTGGTGGAGGTTGTAAATGGATATTTTAAAAGAGATTTTAGATTATTAAGGTTTGACAATTTTAATAAAACTGTACCAAATATGATGGCTTATTTCCAAATTGCTGCAAGTTTAATAAATAAGTTTGGTGTTCGTCTTCGCAATAGAGCTGATGCTGCTCAAATTCTTGGTATAATAAATGAAAGGATGCCCTTGGAAAATAACTTAATTAATATAGTTACAGAATATAATTTAAATCGCCGGGCATCCTTTTTTCAAAGCATTACAGCTGATACTGCTAATATTGAGTTTCCCCGTCTAGAATACAGTTAATTAATATTATTCGCCTTGGGAACGTACCAAATTCGCCAAGCGCGTTCATATTATGGTGAACACGTACGTTTCCATGGCGGATACAGGATAGAAGTTTGTCAGGATACTAATAATATACCTGAGTTAGGCAGTGGGGAAAATTCACTTATAAAAGGAAAAATAAAGTCTAGACATATCTCAAGACGTCAGTACTATGTGTACATTTTGATTGCAAATGGTGTTGATGGACGAGAAGGCATTGTAGAGTATTGCTGTAACTGCATTGTAGGACGTCGCACTGTAGGTTGTTGTGCGCATATTATGACAATGGTGTGGTACTTGGGTTGGGCCAGGCATGAAACCAATATTGAGCCTCCAGCTGCATTTTTAGATGAAGTGGTCATACGAGAAGACAATGAATAAATAAAAATAAATCAAATCGTGTTTTTTGTTTAATTTCCCTGTTCTCGCCAAAAACATGTAGAAAAGGTAGCTCTTTTTGTTATCTATTAATGTTGTGATGGCCCATAGGTTACAACTCGCCTCTTATGCACAGGCTGTGAGTTCAAATTCAGGCAAGTACCAATGTGTGTCTTTCAATGCGTAGGTACGTATTTTCTAAGTTTATCTTACAATGGGGAAGGAAAACATCGTGAGGCAACCTGAACTCAATAATCATATGGTAGAAGTATAATAATCAAAATAAAAGTCTGAAACTGCCAACTCATCTTGACTCTGCTTGGTGATTAATGCTGCTGCTTTCTCTGTATGAAAAGAGGTCTTTTCCCAGCAGTGGGGCCGTATTATTATGCTTATATTAGGTATTATTTACTCTCTTTCTCTGTTCATCAGACTTTTAGAGTTCGATGGCAGAAAGCGTCGCCTGTCAGGACGACTCCTTGAGTCAATCTGTTACGACGACAGATTTTGACCGATAATTAAATGAACTATACGTATATTGTTCTAATTTGCATAAAGTGTAGTCTAAAAATCAACATAGGCGAGATATTACGAAAACGTAACTGCTATTTGTGACCGCGCACAGATGATAATATTACATTGAAGAGGGATTTATTTCTGAGTGATTGTAACTCTCTCGGCGATTAAGAAACAATAACAGAGTACTTTTTGTATACCTGAAAGAAACAATTTGATTATAAACGTATAGTTTTTTGAGGTTGCGACAGCTGTCAAATAAGGTTTGACAGCTGTCATAACCTGAAAAAACTTATTTACTTAATAGCATTTTTCCCTGGCCTCTAAATGAAAAGGTAATAAGTTATTATGTTATTATAAACAATAATTGATTTTATGCAACAGCACTTGTAGGTAGACGCGCCCTGTAAAACAAATCAAGTGACAGGTCAATCAATGTATGGGAAGTGGGCATTCTTCTTTACGTCACTTGAATCATCTCGACTCAAACAAGACTCCACAACAAAATCTTCTCAGCCTGAAACAACATCTCATCAAAAGAAACCTCATTATTTTAAGTCATTTACCAGCAATTAAAATCAAGTCACAAATTATGCAGCGAAAAACTCACAAACAGGATGTCTACTACGCAAAAATGAAAACCGCAGCATATTTCACTGCAGCAACTTTCTCAAAATACAACCAACGGAAAGGCGAAATACAATTGCGAAATTGAAATATTGCTTAAATTGTATTTACGATCACTACGGCAGAAAATGCATATCGGAAAAATGTTGCCGCGAGTGTAATGGCCGACATAACACACTCATACACAAGGCCTACGTGAAGCCGTTGACCTCAGGAACAGAACAACGTAGAAATGCTAGCAATAAAATAATATAAATGAAACCCTCTTAGCAACAGTTGTTACAACTTCAACAAATGTTACAACTTCCTCGACAGAGGTGCAAAGGTGTCATTTTCGAAGTTCAAGGAAAACAATTGTAAAGGTGTTATTAACATAACTTGCTCATGTGCTTACAGCGACTATCAATTTACATCAGATGCGTTTATCATGAAAAACTTAATTAACAATCTGCCCAACAAGACATTCGAATAACCAGACTGGTCATATCTAGAAAACATTCAACTCGCCGATCGCGAATTCAACGTGAGCCGCCCAGTAGACTTGTTGTTGGGGGCGGACGTCTGTTCTTCTATCATATTAGGCGGTATCATTTCATCAGAACAATCACAACTGGTAGCACAGCAAACACGTCTCGGGTGGATTTTATGTGGCAACGTAAAATCCTATCAATGCAACGTTATTATGAACAATATTCCTCTCGTCTGTGAGGCGACCGGGTCCCGGTTAGTGACAGAATATGCGCGTCTGTGCAGCGACCGAGAGCCGGATCCAATAAGTAGTCCTTCTTCTTGCTTGTATTAAGGGTTTTTGCATATATCTTTCTCTTTTTAACTCATTACGAAAGCATAATGCTTAAAGACGTGGTCCAATAGCTAATATGTTTAATATTAGCTATTGGACCACGTCTTTGCCGAATTACGTCATGCAAAAGTCAAATATTATGAGGAGAAGTTCGCCGGTCACATACGTCTAACCACCTTGCTTAAGTGTGTGTAAAAAAGGTAAACAGCTGTTAAATAGGTTAATAAAGAAGAAAATACGATGCAAAGGTAAGTTATGTAAAATTTCTATAAATAATATTAAAGGTGTACCTTATTTTTTTGTAATTTTCGGCCTTTTTTTTCAAACTTACTCTGTGTCGAACTATGAGCATGATTTTGATTTGGTTTAATTTTTATTAAAACACGTCTAACTTATTAATTTAATATCATGAACTAGTCGCCCACTTTATGAATTTAGCTTAGATTTAGTGTGAAACATGTTGTATTAATCCCTTAAAAAGTAATAAATAGATGTACTGTACTTTCAAACCGGGAATCGGTCTCACCACAGACATTGTTTGACAGATCCTATTTAAGACTAAGTATAGTATGGATATCCCCTGCGTGTTAGAATTTTTCTATCGAATTCCCAAAGAAGTAGGAGGGTCGCAATACGACTGATTTTTTACATGTTTGTTATCCCATTTTACTTCTATATTAATATTTATTATTATTATTAAAGAAATATTCTTCGCCCAATGGGATGAAATTAAAGTCGGGGTTGTTTTATTTTGTTGAAGCACTACAGGTTTTTAATGTTTCATAATATTTTTTTAATTTCTGTTTGGCATTTTTAATGCTATTTCCGTTTAGTGTTTTTATTTGCTTTGTTCTGTTTTGAGTGCTTTCTTGCTTTTTCGATGTATAAGATCAACAACAAAAGGCGGACAGAGAAGAGGCGCTGGTGGACGCAGGGCCTCTGGTCCACGTTCGCGTGGTGGGCGGCCTGGTGGAGGTGGTGGCGTCTTACAGAGGCCTTCTTCTGACTCGTAATAGCGGTTTTTTATTAACACAAAATAATTATTATTATACTCCTCTCGCCACCTACAATCCTCTACGCCACATTCAATCGTAATCGGTGCAGCAAAACGACCCAGGTTACTTTAAGTATTGTAATTTTAGAAGTAGTATTAGTAAAAAAGAAACTAAAATTAGCATAAACTAAAAGTAAATGGGCTACTATATGGGCTTAACGTATTAACATTATTTTTATTGACTTTACTATTTATATACTGAGGACCCCCCTGCTGGACCACAAAAGCGGCGATGCTCACGAGTACATGCAAAAATAAATACGTATTGAGATCAAATTGATCTCAGTTTTAAGATTTGATCTATATATTTTTAGATAATTTCATCTTTGTCATCCCATCGCCCACACAACGCCAATGCTGCCGAGAGCTGCACGATTTTATTTTCAAGACGAGGACAACGATATGGTTAAAACTGATGCGATACCGTCGTTTCAATGGCCACCTCAGTCGCAGCAGCTTCAGCAGTTCGAGGCCATACTACCGATTTTTAATATCCCCGATCCCGAACCCACAACCAATCCTGAGCCCACAACCGATTCCGAACCCACAATCGAGCCGGAACCCACAACTGAGTTACAACCGTCATCAAAATTTGTGTTCAACTGGAGAGCGTTCTCACAACCACAAATTCCACCTGAGTTGAGAAGAGAACCTTTCTCCGACAGTAATTGTGGTCCCACTGTTTCATTAGCGACCCCATGTGAAGCATTTACTGCCATTTGGGATTGGCAAATAATGGAACACATAGCTAGTCAAACAAATAAATATGCTCAACAGCTGGCAACGTACATGCTGGAGGAAGGCTCCATACGCCCCAACAGCCGTATTACCAAGTGGCAGCCCACCGACGTCGATGAACTGTACGTGTATTTGGCTATAATTCTGGCCACTGGAATTGTAGTCAAATCACGTCTCGAGGAGTACTGGAATAAGACTGAGGAAATTTTCAGTACACCCGGGTTCTCGTATGATGTATGATCGTTTTGTGCTGTTGAGCAATTTCAAAGACAATGATAGTTGTAACCCGGAATTGATGACGCGTTCTGAGGCCAAATTGTTTAAAATTAAACCTGTACTAGACCATCTTAATTCCAGATTCCCACAACTATATAACATGTCCCAAAATGTAGCTTTGGACGAGAGTCTAACTATGTGGAAGGGTTGGTTAGACATAAACCAGTTTATAAAAAATAAGGCTGCTTCAATAGGAAAAGAACCTACAAAATATGTGAATGCGCAACTACTGCGGTCTGCTGATGAGCCCTTCTCAATACAAAGATTTTGGATATTTAATCGAGAACAAGAACGTATTTCACTCAAATAAGCGAGATGCTGAAGCCTGAAGGCTTTGAATTATGTGAGGATATAGCGACTCAATATATATGGTAGTACCCTCTGGATCTCCATTCGAAGAGCGTATCGTCGAAGTAGGCATGCTCTTAGATATACGACCGTTGGGAGCCTCTCCTAGCGCTAATAGTTTCTTTGATTTAGTTATTGTATCGCTTCACTTCACTTTCTGAGAGAGTCAAGCTGTGTAACGCTATTGGCGATAAGTTAGCTAGTCGACCAGCGATCCGCTGGTGCGGTGCGGAGTTAGAATCTCTCTTTCACTGCGATATTGTTCAGAACGCGTGTGAGATTAATGGTTTAGCGGTTCTGGGCAGGAGCATGTCTGACTCTGGAATATGGGGAGGAGATTACCCTGACGTTCATTGCAACGACCATTCGTTTAATGTGATGCTACACGTAAGGAGCTTACGGGAAGTGGTGCAGAAGAAGCTTGTTTCACTCTTTCACTCAGTTACGATACCTGGTTCCGTAATCGTTTACGTTGGCTCTGCCCCTGGCGATGCTTGGATCGAAGCGCTTGAAAGCTATCCCAACGTTGTAAAAGTTCTATCAATCGACACACGAGAGCCGCTGATGATTCATACCACTTAGTGAGGGATCATCACAATTGCGTTTTAGTCTGGGATGTGCGTGGCGACGCCTCTTCAGACGAAAGACGCAATTTGATCCTTTCCGAGATCGCGATAATAAATGATATAATGCACGATGAACAATTGGAGCGCCACTTTTTCTTAGCTAATGTTAAGATAAATACCCGCTGCATGTACTCGTACTCGTTACCGGCGGTGACCGATATTAAATACAGCCCTATACAGTAAGCAGAGACATATTTGAGGCGCTTTACGTTGTACATTTGCGTTCGAAGTCAACGTGCGAAAGAGGTTTTTCGTCCCCGAGTGAAGCGACTCGCAGGTCTTTGATTAGCGAGATGGAAGCGGTTCGAATGCGTTTGGACGGTAACATGTTATCTGAGAGACAGTTGGTTGCCAATGCTCTCACTGCGCGCTACCGTATGGTTGATTACTTGCTGGAGGAAGCGTATAATCATTCAGAAGAGGAGATCTTCCTTTTCACTATCAATCATAATTCTCCGAAGCATGTGCTGCAACACACACGCGTGTGGACAACCACATTAAGAAGTTAAAAGCTGCGGGGAAACGTTATATAATTAGCTTCTTCAACGGTCAAGCCAGGGATGTTGATCCTTATGAATTTCCAGAGGGAGAGGCTATTGCCTACTCATTGGGAACTGTGCTCGATTCGCGATCCCTTATACACGCTAAAATTGAAAATTTGTATTTCTTTCTGTCCGATCAAATTGTAACGCCCCCCCCCCCCTCCCATATATATATATATATATATATATATATATAAAAATATTATATTAAATATAATTCATATAATTCATTTACCCCTTTTCGATAAAAATTATATATATGTGACCAGGATAAATAAGATACGTTTTGATCTTTCTAAAGGTTTATTAATAGGCCGTTTGTAATATTTTGGCGTGATCGTCTTAGTTAGGACCCTTATTTACGTTGTGTTTGTTTAGTAACTTAGTTCTTTTAGGTGTCTTTTGGAAGAATGAATATTCACTAGAGCAATTGAAAGCTGTTGGTAGTGCCTTATAAGCTAAGTGAACCCCGTTCACGAAGACAGGGCTCGAAAAAAGGTTAAGAACATAAAACGTCCCTATTCCACTTGCATCAGGTTTACATTATTAATTATCCCTTCCCGCTCGGAAAAGGCTCAAAATATATTTATATAAAATACCCGATACAAGGGCTTCGCTCTCCTACATTTATTTAAAAAAAATGTAGGGGGAGGTACACGGCCCCACACACGCCGTGCACGGTGAGTGCCAACCATTTTGATGCACTCCCCCCGGAGGGAAAGCTAATTCGGGAACTGGACCGTAGTCCACAGCAAAATAACTGGCGAACCAGTAAAAGAGGCTTGGCCCCTTGCTAGTGCGTAAGCACAAACATCGACCGAAGTCGCGCATGTCAATGCGTGTAAACGCCAAACAGAATACGAACGAATCCAGCCACAGTGAATGTACGTCACACGGTTTAGGCAAATAGGCACACTGGCCGTAAACCCTCCGTGAGCGCCACCACCTGCCAGACCGCCGCTCCTGCAGACGTGATGTAAGTGTATGGCATCACCACCAATTGCATGATCAGCACGGCTACTAGCCGCAGAGCGTGTCATGAGTCTACCGCTCACCTCAAGGGAATGGGGTCCCACGTTGTGCGGCTTTCGGCCGCAGCCTTGAGAGTCTCCTCAGATCCTCTCGCCAGCTACCACCCGCATGAGGTCGACACATATGCTCCACCAACCAATACAACGGCAGATATAGCCAAAAGGCAGTTATAAGATAAGAGTAATAATTCGCCATCGGAAAGGGTTTGTGTCACTGACGTTGAGTAAATGCATTTTCGATCATGTTTGTCTCACCCACCAACAAGTTGCCTTCAATCATTCAAAGGTGGGAAAGTTACAGAGATATAATATTATGTTGTTATATAAAACATCGTGGAGGGCAGACAGTCTGCAGCCCCGTAATGAAGGGACCCGACTTGGGCAAAGCTACTCAGGCGTGAGTCAAACCAAGACGCAGAGAGCGCCATTGAGAATAGCGTCCCACCAAACAACCATCGCAGGGACGCAATGCTGCAGAACTCAACAAGCATCAATACGACTATCGTCGGGCTTACACCATCCCAAGGTCCCCCATACATCCCAGCAGACATCACCACCCGCATACCTCCATCGACCAGAACCACAAGAGTGCGTCGAATCAGGCGCAGCACACTCGCAGATCCATCACAAGACGCAATACCGCAAGTAGCAGTAAGCATCAATGCAACCACAACCCTACTATTGTAATGCATATTCATCATAGAGACCTTCTATAGTATTGCTTTTGTATCATTGAGTTTATTATCATAAGTCCCAAATATAGATTGTGCTACAGTACCTCAGGCAGTCGGACTCTCGACCACGCCATATATATGTACAACTGCAGGTATGTATCTCCGGCAGCTCCTCCATACAAGACATCTATACATGAACACCTTCCACAACTTAGACAATTTTTAACAAATTTTCTAATTATCTTATAAACGTTATTTATCTTTATTTTTATAATATTTTCGACTTGTATTTCTATTGTTTATCATGTTTTAAATATTTTACAAGTTTTTATAATAAATTTATTTATTATGAAAGCCAATATTTTGCCTTTAATTTGCTATGTTATTGGTCTAATGTCTGAAATGTATTTATATTAACTTTATGCTTTTTTTTTTTTTTTTTTTTTTTTTATAGAAGAGGGGGCAAACGAGCATGTGGCTCACCTGATGTTAAGTGACTACCGCCGCCCATGATCAACTGCAACACCAGGGGAATTGCAGACGCGTTGCCGGCCCTTTAGAAAGGAGTAAGCTCTTTTCTTGAAGGTCCCCAGGTCGTATCGGTCCGGAAAAATCGCTGGTGGTAAATTATTCCACAGAGAGGTTGTACGCGGAAAAAAACTCCTTTTGAAACGTACAGTGGTGGACCGCCAAGCATCCAGATGGTGTGGATGGTATCGGGACGTTTGCCGCGTAGTGCGTTCACGAAATTTGGTGGCTGGGATTAATCCGAACAATTCCTCAGAGCACTCTCCATGGTATATGCGAAAGAAAATGCAAAGGGATGCAACATCTCTTCGCAGTGCCAGAGAATCGAGCCGATCGGAAAGCACTCGGTCGTCGACGATTCGAGCCGCTCTGCGCTGGATGTGGTCAAGTGGAAGGAGCTGGTACTGGGGAGCCCCAGCCCAGAGATGGGAACAGTATTCCATGTGCGGCCGAACCTGCGCCTTGTAAAGTTGCAGGCGGTGTGCCGGCATGAAATACTGTCCCGCTCTGCTGAGCACGCCAAGCTTTTTAGAGGCCAATTTGGCCTTCCCTTCCAAGTGACCACGAAACTGCACGTCACTCGATATGTCGACGCCGAGGATTCCGATACTGGCTGAGGCAACAAGGGGAGTGCCTTGAAACTGAGGGGATACGACAAAGGGGTTCTTTTTAGCGGTTAACGCGCAAACTTGTGTCTTCTGGGGGTTAAACTGGACTAGATTTAGTCGCCCCCAATCCGAGACTCTGTCCAGCAGAGACTCGACTTCAGACACAAGTTTGTCCCGGCACTCGGAGACGTTTTCCCGAGAAATATTGGCTCGGCCGGTGTAAAGAGCATCACCAGTGCTGTCATCTGCATAGGAATGAATGTTACGGGTCTGCAACATATCATTGATATGCAGAAGAAACAGCGTTGGCGATAGCACGCAGCCCTGTGGAACACCAGCATTAATAGGCTTGCAATCGGAGCTTGCACCGTCTACAACGACCTTGATGCTCCGATCTGCAAGAAAACTGGTGATCCAATCGCACAATTTCTCGGGAAGCCCATAGGAAGGGAGCTTCGAAAGAAGCGCTTTGTGCCAAACCCGATCGAAGGCCTTCGCAATGTCCAAACTAACAGCCAATGCCTCCCCCCTTGGACTCTACTGCCTCCGCCCATCTGTGAGTTAGGTAGACCAGAAGATCACCAGCTGACCTACCACGGCGAAAACCATATTGGCGGTCACTAATCAGCTGGTGATCCTCAAGGTACCTCATGAGCTGGCTGTTTACAATGGACTCCATTGTTTTGGAGAACAAGGAGGTGATGGCGATAGGCCGGTAGTTGGACGGGTCTGAGCGGTCGCCTTTTTTAGGGATCGGGTGGACGAAAGCCGTCTTCCATGATTTTGGGACTACGCCTAGGGAGTAGGAGTACCGGAAAAAACGCGTTAAAACCGGTGCCAACTCTGGAGCACACGTCCTCAGCACAATTGGGGGGATTCCGTCAGGCCCACTCGACTTGTGGATGTCCAGGGAGAGGAGTGCTTTGCGAACCGAGCGCTGAGTGAACTGCACTTCCGGCATGGAGCACTCACACCGCGGGATGGTCGGCGGCGTACTCCCCCCGTCATCGAGAGTCGAGTTAGACGCAAAGAAAGAGCCTAGAAGATCGGCTTTCTCCTTTGCGGTGTGGGCCAGTGAGTCGTCCTCCCTGTGCAGAGATGGAAGAGATGGCTGACAGAAATTCCCCTGGACAGCCTTGGCGAGAGACCAGAATGTACGGGTTCCAGAAGGAAGACGAACTAGTTTCTCGCCAATTCTGCCTATGTGCTCTGACTTTGCCTTGGCAATGACTCTTTTGAAGGACCTGGAGGCGGAAATTTAATAAAATTAATGTAATTTTATTGCTTAATATATATATATATATATATATATATATATATATATATATATATATATATATATTTTAAGACTATTTTTGATGCCCCTTTATATTGAATTTAATTATTAATAATAATATTGGGCCGTCACAAAATGAATGATCTTGAGAAGAAGAATATACCTCTGAAACGTACAAAATTCGAAAGACTGAATACTCCGTGACGACGCGTTCAAGAATTCTTATATATGACGAGGTACGAGCTAAAGCGTGCGAAGCTGTTGGAGCACGCTTCCCAGAGTTCCAGTCTGACTTCAGTATATCCGATACTCTCTATCAGGACATGCCCTACGTATGGTTATTGAGTATTTGAGTGGAAACGCATCAATAGCCATGTTCGTCGAAAAGACTGGTTACTTGTGGCGTTTCGAAGTCCACGCAAGGCAAGATGATTCCTCGACTCCACAAGAAGGTCCAATTTCAGGAGTTATCCCCTCCTTAGTGATTAGGCTTTTAAAATGGTCTTGAGCACAAAGGCCATACTATCTGGATAGATAATTTTTACAATTCCCCAGCTCTTTCACGAGAATTGAAAGTACGGGGCTTTAAATGCATGGGAACGCTTCGAACAAATCGTTAGTTTGTTCTCTCAGAAATCACAAACTTAAAAAAAAGTGACATGCCGATTGGTCAATTGTGTGGCTGTGGATTTATATTTATTATTATATTATATATATTTCGACATACTATGGTTTAGCATCTGTTAGGTGTGGTGACACTCTAGAGCCCTCGAACATATCGGATTATAATATCTGTATGGGAGGGGTTGACCGAAAGGATCAAATGATCGCCATGTTCCCCATTGAACTAAAGCGTACTCAAGTGTGGTACAAAAAAAATTTCAGACGCCTATTGAATGTGAGTGTTCTAAATGCTTACACATTACTGAAATCACAACACCAAATTACCCACCGAAATTTTCGTAACATTTTGGTGGGTCAATTGATAGCACATCACATGACTGCACAAATAGTTGTGGCTCCTTCGGTTTTAGGGGAGCATTTTCCAGCATAATACGAGTTTGTTGCCGGCAAACAACATGAGCGGTTGCGACGTTTGTGCGCCGTATGCAAAAAACGAAAAACTGCTTATTGTGCAATGTCCCCCTATATGTATTTACCTGCTTTGAGCCACACCACTCACCACAGTAATAAAAAAAAACTATACAGAAACATTATCCTAAAACGCAGAATAGTTATTTTATAATATTTCATACAACAAAAAATAAAGAGTCGTATCCATATTTTTCTAACCTCATTGTGACTTAAGTGGTTGTTTTTTTACAATATTTATCAACATTGTTCTTAAAATATTTCTAGGAAGCAAACTTATTTTCTGTTTGAATTTGATACCTTGTTCTATGTAAATCCTGGTAAATATAACACTATTTTGATAGTATTTACCTAAAACCAAAGAAAAGAGTTTTAAATGAGCACTGTGTTTCGTGCCCATTTTAAGTACCATATTTGTTCAGGTTTTACTCAAGTTATATTAAATCTTAGAACTATGTTGCTATTTTAAATTGTAGCTGATATGCTCAACTTACAGTAAACATAAAATGTTTGACCCTTAAACAAAGAATCTTTTCAAACCATTGAGAAATATGAAGGTCAATTACGAGTAAAATACCAAACAGAGCGGTTGATTTTAGTGGCTTTTATTGAAACAAGTGGTGTGTAAAAAAAATGTATGATGACGTGTGATGATTGTATTATTTTTTTGTTTTAACACTTTAACAGCCGTACACGTACTGTATGCGGGCAGTGTCGATCAACTCAGGACGCCGATCACGTACTCCATACGACTTTTACTTTCCTATCTTCTGTTTAAAAATCACGTTCCCGGTGCGTGATTGGCGTGTAATCCCGGTGTAAAATGACTCTTTAGCTACACCCACATGTATGAATCACCGACGGGAGATGCGGGGTGGAGGCAGGACAAGCGATCTTTCAGCGCGCGTCACCAGTGCTCCCACGCCACCAACGTGAGAGCACGTCTTTGCATTTTGGCGCGAAATGGGTTCCGCTCGGCGTAGTTGGCGGCTTGATTCTAAAGAAATTTTTGATGTTTTGGTAAATGATGTTGACTCAGACATTGAGGAAGACCCGGAAATTCAAATTGAAGGTAAATTATTGTATTTTATTATTGTATTTTTATTCGAATATACCTTTTTTGCGAAGTCTAGATTTTTATTGGTGTTTTCTCTCTCCAGAGGTAATTCAAGACTTACAAGAGGTGGTATCGTTCCAAGATCAAGATAATGATGATGCATGTCAGAAAACATATCTGAACCAGAACAGGGTCGAAGCCGGGGTCGCTCGACTACCCGCTGCAGCGGCGGCAGACATGCATCAACTTCTGTCAGGGAAATGGACGAAGCTAATAGATGGTCATACCAAGCAGTGCAGCAGCTGCTTGAAAATCCAGTATTTCAAGAAATATCTCGCGTATTAGCCCCGATTGATGAAAATTCGTCACTGTTCGATTGTTTCTCAATTTTTTTCCAGATTCTTTTTGGAAATTGCTCAAGACTGAAACAAATCGTTATGCAGCTCAAATGAAGGCAAACAAACGCGAAAAGGTATCCTGAAACCTGGCATGCATATGCTTTATCAATGGAAACCAGTCACGAAACAGGAGCTAAAACAATTTTTCCCATACTGCCGTGCCAATCCAAAAGAATTTAAGTCGACTTACAGTGTTTTTGCTAAACAACGCCCAATCAGTTTCTGTAGGTCTGTTTAGTACCCCTGACCAATATTTTTGTCATTTAAACGTATATTTTGCAGGATAGGGCAAGCTAATAAACATTGTATAACGTTCAAATTAAGGTTTAACCATGCTGGAAAACTGTAATAAAGCTTACAGTATTTTGCCGTAACAAACTACGCGCACTGCTGTAGATACAGTGTTTTAAACTGACGCGTATACTCGCACGTTGATATTGTCCCGCCAGCGTAATATTATCTATAAACATGAATGCTATCTCGCTCTTTCGCATCGTCATAGAGGCCCCCCGCCCTCTCGGCAAGTTTGAAGACGGTTCAGTTTACGTGTGACGCGCAGTGATACCGGTGATTATGTGATTTATTGTGTACCTATCCTGTGATCGCCTGTCGTATTTTATTTAATTACCGTGATTTCGTATTAATTTAACGATGAATACGAGTCGAAGTAAAATGCTAGTTAGACTGTCAAAACAAAATATTAAACATTATAATAACACAGATTTAGTTACTGTTGTGTCCAATGTGATAAATGACTGTCTAGAAAAAGAAAATAGAAACCGCAATAATCACAATGAGTATGAAAATTACCTTCAAGATGATTTAGGATCAAGAAACTTTATAAGTCCTATTATTCCATTAAGTGAGTCTCAACTTAATGAATGCATTTCAGAAGAATTAGGAGAAAGAGTTTACGCCCAACTGGTACCCGCATTAATTTGTGATAAGAATTTAGACGACTCAAATATTTCCACAGAAGATTTTCACCAATCCACAAGTTCGCATATTCATGTTAATAGCGTTCAATCTAATTTATATTGTGATCTTACGTCTAAAACAAAAATCCAGTCAATAAAGAACCAAGAACACATTGCTACTGGATCGATAAATAATTTAGATGAAGATGATTTCGATACTTTGAATCTTTTGACTGGGACACAAAACATAATATCTACTGAATTATCGACTGAAATGCAACCAGCACCTTGTTTAGCACATTCTTCACCACCTTCAGTTTCGCCAAAGCCGTCTACTTCCTTAGCTCCTGTAAGTCCTATAGCACATATTGAAACACAACTGCTGACAAGAAAAAAAAAACGTAGCTTCCTTGAAGAATCCACCGCCATTGATAAACCTGCCGTCGAAGATAACTGTCAAACACCAAAGAAACCTAAGCGCAATAGAGACCCAGCAGCTATATTAGAGACACAAAGATTAAAACATCCATTGCTGCCACCTTGTTCATGTAAAAAACAGTGCATTCAAAAGATTTCCGAGACTGAAAGGCAGCCATTTTTGGACACAATTTTGGAACTTGGACCGGCAACGGGGCCGCGACTTTATATCAAGAAGTGTTGATAAGCTATCTACCACATGCACTAAAACAAAAGGTGATTTTCGAAGGCATAACACACTAAAATGGTCCCTAAATGATGTCAATGTATGCAAGTTTTTTTTCTTAGGACCTTGGGATATACAAACGATGAAGCTGTGCAATCAGTCTTGAAAAATAACTATCTAGAGAGTAATAAAAATCCTAAGATAAGCGCTACACCCGATCTTCGAGGACGTCGATATGCAACATCTAACAAGTTTCCACCGGAGTATTAAAAACGATTAGAAGAATTTATTATGAAATACAACCCTGTTCCATCACATTACAACATTAACCATGCGCCGAACCGAAAGTATTTGCCTATAGGTATAAACTTTTCCAAGTATTGCCAAGAAAATAATACGACGATTTGTGGTTGGACTCATTTTCATACTATGATAAAAAAATTTAATCTCTCAACATCAGAATTACCTTAAGATATATGCACTAAAGCCGGATTTACATTTGTCTGACGTGTTGTGTTGTGACGCATCAGAATGGTATCGGTTTCATACATTTAGTATGGTGAGATTTATATTTGGGTGTCGCGATCTGTTGTGATGGCTTCTGATGCGACGCATCAAACGAGATTCCGATCGCATCAGAGAGGTGGAGGTGAGTGGGCGGGGGAGCAGCCGCCTGGCGACGCAGCAGAAAGTGTGCACGCGACAGTATTGTGTAGTGACGCGTCAGAGCCACGTGCGTGTTTTGTTTATCCACTCGATTTAAAGTTTTAGAAAAGAATTTAAAGTATGGACGACTTGATAGAAATAGTAAGACAATATAAAGTGATTTATGACACCAAATGTAAAGAATATAGGGACCAATCCATTAGAGCATCTGTTTGGGAGGAGATAGGAGAAAAAATTAAACAACCCCGTAAGTACTATACTGCTTTATTTAATTAAACCGTGTTCTACCTTGTGTAATAGCTTGCATTTGCCATGGAACTTGTCCCTGGGGACTTACAAAATATGTTTTATATGCTTCACGAACTTGAATAGCTTCTTGAGATGGATTTCTATTTAACGGTTCGATGTCTACTAAGCCATTACCGTCGCTCACCTCGCTTTCATCCATCAAAGTTTCTTGTGTTTCCTGTGTGTCTTGGGTCAAAAAGTTATGAAGGCAGCAGGCAGCAAGTACGATCTTGTCCGCCATGTTTGGTTGTACTTGTAAAGGTCCCTGAAACACTAAATCTAGCTCGTAATATTCCAAATGCATTTTCTACAGTACGGTGAGCACGTGATAAGCGATAATTAAATATTTTATTTGGGTTATTGTTAACTAATTTAGCTTTACTGTACGGTTTTAATAAATACGTTTTCAGTGGGAATGCCGCGTCTGCCACAATAGTGTAGGGTAAAGGTTCTGTATTTTGGTTTATAGGTTTATTTGGTGGCACATTTAATTGACTGCTTTCAAACATTTTTCCCATTAACGACTCTTGGTAAATGCCACCATCACTATTTCGGCCATACGCTCCTACATCTACCATAATAAATCTGTAATGCGCATCAACAAGTGCAAGCAGTACAATAGAATGCTCATTTTTATAATTATAAAAAGTGGATCCTGCATTTATTGGGCATATTATAGAAATATGTTTTCCATCCAATGCTCCAATACAATTCGGAAAATGTCATACATTTTCGAATCATTTCGCAATCTCTCTCCACATTTGGTCTGTAGGCTGGGGCATTACAATAGGGCCAAATTCTTCCAAATTGAGTTACATACTTGTTCTACTATGATTTTTACTGTAGCAAACCCCATACGGTAATTGAACCCCAATGATCGAAAAGAATTTCCAGTTGCCATAAATCTGTAATATAAAAACACAGATAATTTATTTTTGTTTCAGCGGAAAAATGTAAAGATGACTGGAATAAATTACGAAATAGCTACGTCAACGCATTGAAACGCCGTAAAAATAAAAAAAGTGGGCAAGCCGCTCAATTTATCCCGCCATAGAAATATGAAGAACAAATGAGTTTTTTACAGCCATTTATGAAATCAAGGTCGACCACAACAAATCTTTCATCACCTCCTGAATCTCCAGAATTTCACTCAGAAAGTACTCAATCAGACAATTCTCGTCCAGCAACACCACATACTGGTAGTTCCTCGCACTCCCAACAGCCTGTTAGAAAACCAAACTTACAGGATCTATATGATATGATGAAGTCTTCGCACGATTTGAGAATCCATAAGCATCATTCAAAGCAGCAGCAGGATAATATGACGGATGAAACAGACTTGTTTTTTCTGAGCATGAGCAAAGCAGTTAAAAAACTTCCGAAACTAGATCAGACCAAAATAAAATTGGATTTGCACACTGCTGTATCACAAGCTGAAATAAGGAAACTTCAGACACAAGCACAAATTCTTAGAACACCAATTAATGTGACTCACCAGATAGTTACCCGGCCACAACAACCGCTGCCACTCCAGCTACCCATTCAACCATCCACATCCATGACGATATTTCCAGCAGTCCCAGCTACACCAACCCTCGACAACATCAACTCTCAACAATCGGCCTCAACACTTTATAATTTTGAAGAAGATAACATCTCATGATATTATAGCAATGCAGACTTTTCTGATGATAACTGATTACCCGTCTTTACTAATAATGTTAAAAAAAAATCATGACCTTAAACACACAGCAAGTCTTTCTTTTGTCCCTATAGGTTTACGAAACTTCGTATGTATTTTTTTTATGTCCCCTTCAATCAATGAATGAACTTCCTCGAACTGTGCCTTGGACATTCTAAAATACTGATGAAATCTTTGAGCATCGTTCTCAATCTCTTTAACGAGACAGTGAAACTCGCCTTTAGACTCTCTTTTATTATTCACTGGATGAACCCAATATCTTCTTCATACTCTGAATCAGAGTCGGATGATTCATGGGAAAACATTGTAAACATATGAACTCTCCGAGAGCTATGACTGTATTGATTCAAAATATCGTCAGAGGCCGTCAGAACACAACATAAAGATGTGAACACTAGCCATCACGTCAGAGCCCGTCACGACACAACACGTCAGGCAATAATAATAATAAATCCGCCTTAAATGTAAAAATCATAAAATAGCTCATGAGATACTACCGCTTCCTTGTAACTGTGAAGAGTGTAAAATGATAGGCCAGCACTTAGAAAATAAACGCAATTCACGAAGAGATTTAAGTTTAGCAGAAGATCGAAGTAAAAATTCGGAAAGAAAGGAAGCTGTGTTCACCGTCGACATGCAAAAAGCTATATGCATGATTCGACAAATCGCGAAACCGTTTGTTTCGGATCATTGTATGCTGCAAGCTTCTCTTTTTCGTGGTTGCGGACTCGCAACCACGAAATATATATGTACTAATATATATATATATATATATATATATATATATATATATATATATATATATATATATATATATATATATATATATATAAGGGGTTTTCCAATAGGGACTTGACAATTTTGAATTTAGTTTCTAAACGCACTGTTTCACTTAACATCGAACTGTTACTGTCAGTTTATTCAGTAGATATAACATTTTCATCATGGTGAAGTACACGAACGAACAATATCTGCAAATCTTAAAAATTTACTACAGAAATTTGGAGTCGGTGGCCGCTACTTTAAGAGCGTTAACTCCGATTTTCGGTCGTAACTCTCGCCCTAGAAGACAGGCACTAACAAGTTTAGTGAAAAAGTTTGAGTCTACATATTCGTTGTGTGATGTTGCCGTGCCAATGAGTTTCGGCGGTCTTTCCAGTCCTGTACCCATGTCGTTGGATGGCGCTATACTGCCTACCTGCTCAGATTTCAAGTACCTCGGTTCCCTCATTCAAGGCGACGGCGAAATAGATAGAGCTGTGCAGCATAGGATTAACGCAGGGTGGATGAAATAGCGACAGGTCACAGCCACAACGTGCGATCCCCGAATGCCAATAAGGCTGAAGGGGAAAATTTACAAATCGACCATCCGACCTGTCGTCATGTATGGAAGTGAATGCTGGGCCGTCAAGAAGAAGGATGAAAATAGATTGCATGCGAATGAAATGAGAATGTTACGATGGATGTGTGGTGTGACAAGGATGGATAAGATAAGGAATGAGTATATAAGAGGAAGCCTGAAAGTAGCGCCAGTGGTAGAAAAGGTGAGAGGAAGCAGATTGGCATGGTTTGGGCATGTGATGCGGAGGGATGAAAGTCATGTCACAAAACGAGTGTTGAATATGAATGTGGAAGGACACACGGGCAGAGGAAGGCCGAATAAAAGATGGATCGATTGTGTGAAGACTGATATGAGAATGAAAGGAGTAAGTATGGAAATGACGGCTGATAGAGAGGAATGGAACAAGAAGATTTACTGCGCTGATCCCAGATAATGGGAAATGGTTTAGAGAATGATGATCCTTTCTGTAATACACACACATTTTTTCAATACACTCATTTTTTCTTGTTACTCACAAAGCACTGTAAAAAATACTTGCGCATCTACAATTTACTACATACTTTATTTACTAAGTTCATGTATTTAGTATTAACATGTTATATGAAGGAAATGTGAAATAAATATCTTAAACCGTTTCTTAGCAGTGGCGTACAACTAACTTTATTGTTAATTTAAGTCTCTAACTTCTAATTTTACGAAAGGATATAAAACATATTTTTAATAGTCTTTCATAAAAGTTAAAATATTTAGCCATATTGGCATGTTTTTCTTACCTAAATGTTCATACAATATTAAGTATAGATCACTCCTGTTTTCCACACATCCTCTGTGGCACGGTACTAAAATCATTAAACATCTTAAGCCCAACATACAAGTATAGATACCTATACACATGAGAGACAAACTATATTTGATGTTCAACAACAAAAATACAAAACAATAAATTATTTACTAACTTGTAAATGGTAGCAAGATATAACCGACGCTTAATATTTGTGACGACAAAGGTAAAGAGGCATTATTTTTAGGCATTCACATTAGGCAGTTCCAACTTTCAATACATTAAATTTTTTGAAGTTTTTCAATACAATTTCAATGATAAAGAGCAGTATGCGACCAGAATCCATACACCAGTGAGAAATAAAATACATAATCGACTTTAAACCAGAAGTGATGCTATTTTTACAGGGTTAAAAGCGCCTTAAGGGTAAAAAAAGGCCTAAAACTCGGTCGGTTATACCTAAATGACATTTTGTAAACGCAATTTTTTGCTTGGGCAGAAGCAACAAAAAAGTCATTGTAGAGCCATGGGAGTAAGTGCATTCGAAAAAGTGGAAAATTTTAAGTAGCTTGGCATTCAAGACTAATTTTAGACCAAAATGTCGCTTATGCCCTTTACCTTTTATCTTGCCTTTGCCTTTTATGCCTATACCTTTTATCCGTCGATATGAAGTTGTTAAAGTGTTATATTCAAAATTTAATGGCTGGAGTTTTATATTTTCGGATGGATCAAAGAGTGTAAAAGGACATGGGTCTGCGTGTTATATGCCTAATATAGATATAATACAAAATCAAAATCATCTTTGTTTTAAAATAAGTACTTGTACCACTATTATGACCTTAGAGCTTATTGCGATCTCGAAAGCTTTGACATATGTTACCAGTAGCCAATATAAAAATATCACTTTTGCACAGCATCTCGGGCGTCTGGCACTCCACTTTTAAGTTGTGCAGTGAAAAACTAATTTTGCGTTTTAATTTTTAATTAAAGTAACATTTGAGTGAATATTCAACATGGATTTGTTTAAGAAGTCAATTGAAGACCTAACGCTGAATTTCACTTCACGTATTGATTAGTTCCAGAGGGAGTTTCCAGCGGGTCAGCAGGTCAGGGGGTCACAATCGTCTCGGAAAGGGAAATCGACTCGGATTCGATAACTTTTCGAACGGAAACCATTTTATATATATATATATATATATATATATATATATATATATATATATATATATATATATATAATCATCTTCAGTGACGAAGCTCATTTCTGGCTCAATGATAAATCACTTCATCCACAAAAGATAACTGTTTGGTGCGGTTTGCATGCCGGCGGCGTCATAGGGCCATATTTTTTCGTCGACGATAGTGGTCGCCACGTTACTGTGAATAGTGATCGTTATCGCGCCATGATCATCGATTATTTTTGACCTGGATTGGAATATATGGATTTGGACAGCATGTGGTTTCGACAGGACGGCACCACAAGCCACACAGCATACGTTACAATCGATTTATTGAAGAACAAGTTTGATGAGCGATTTATCTCAAGAAATGGACCAGTCGATTGGCCGCCTCGTTCGTGCGATTTAACGCCTCTAGATTTTCTTCTTTGGGGCTACGTCAAGTCATTGGTCTATGCTAATAAGCTGACGAACATGGAAGAGCTCAAAGCCAACATTGAACGCGAAATATCAGCCGCTTCGGCCGAAATGTGTGGCCGAGTCATAGAAAATTGGATCCAACTAATCGACTGCTGCAAACGTACCCGCAGTGGCCATATGAGCGAAGTCGAGTTCCATTCATAAATGTTTTGAATGTACTTCAACCTGATAATAAAGTTTTTTAAATATCTCAAACGGTTTTAATTTTATTTTGAAAAAAAAGTTGTCAAGTCTTTATTGGAAAACCCGTTATATACATATAAAATTAGTGATAGAAAACTTATAAAAACGCACCTTTCTTCCAAATATTCACAAAAATACAGTTTTGCAAATTAATTGCAAATATTGAAGTAATGATACGAAAATATGTTTATCTCTTATCATTATCAATAATTAAGTTTTCGCCAGCCTCAGAGGTCTCATAAAGTTTCCGATGCGAACTGTCACAATACTCGAAAACCAATGTCAAATTCATCCAAACGGCGAATGTGAATAGCGTGGTTTCCGTTCGAAAAGTTATCGAATCCGAGTCGATCTCCCTTTCCGAGACGATTGTGACCCCCTGACCTGCTGACCCGCTGGAAACTCCCTCTGGAACTCATCAATACGTGAAGTGAAATTCAGCGTTAGGTCTTCAATTGACTTCTTAAACAAATCCATGTTGAATATTCAATCAAATGTTACTTAAATGCCAATGTCAGGTGACAGTGCAGTCGCAAAATTAGTTTTTCACTGCACAACTTAAAAGTGGAGTGCCAGACGCCCGAGATGCTGTGCAAAAGTGATATTTTTATATTGGCTACTGGTAACATATGTCAAAGCTTTCGAGATCGCAATAAGCTCTAAGGTCATAATAGTGGTACAAGTACTTATTTTAAAACAAAGATGATTTTGATTTTGTATTATATCTATATTATGCATATAACACGCAGACCCATGTCCTTTTACACTCTTTGACCCATCCGAAAATATAAAACTCCAGCCATTAAATTTTGTATATAACACTTTAACAACTTCATATCGACGGATAAAAGGTATAGGCATAAAAGGCAAAGGCAAAGGCATAAAAGGTAAAGGGCATAAGCGACATTTTGGTCTAAAATTAGTCTTGAATGCCAAGCTACTTAAAATTTTCCACTTTTTCGAATGCACTTACTCCCATGGCTCTACAATGACTTTTTTGTTGCTTCTGCCCAAGCAAAAAATTGCGTTTACAAAGTGTCATTCAGGTATAACCGACCGAGTTTTAGGCCTTTTTTTATCCTTAAGGCGCTTTTAACCCTGTAAAAATAGCATCACTTCTGGTTTAAAGTCGATTATGTATTTTATTTCTCACTGGTGTATGGATTCTGGTCGCATACTGCTCTTTATCATTGAAATTGTATTGAAAAACTTCAAAAAATTTAATGTATTGAAAGTTGGAACTGCCTAATGTGAATGCCTAAAAATAATGCCTCTTTACCTTTGTCGTCACAAATATTAAGCGTCGGTTATATCTTGCTACCATTTACAAGTTAGTAAATAATTTATTGTTTTGTATTTTTGTTGTTGATCATCAAATATAGTTTGGTCTCTCATGTGTATAGGTATCTATACTTGTATGTTGGGCTTAAGATGTTTAATGATTTTAGTACCGTGCCACAGAGGATGTGTGGAAAACAGGAGTGATCTATACTTAATATTGTATGAACATTTAGGTAAGAAAAACATGCCAATATGGCTAAATATTTTAACTTTTATGAAAGACTATTAAAAATATGTTTTATATCCTTTCGTAAAATTAGAAGTTAGAGACTTAAATTAACAATAAAGTTAGTTGTACGCCACTGCTAAGAAACGGTTTAAGATATTTATTTCACATTTCCTTCATATAACATGTTAATACTAAATACATGAACTTAGTAAATAAAGTATGTAGTAAATTGTAGATGCGCAAGTATTTTTTACAGTGCTGTGAGTAACAAGAAAAAATGAGTGTATTGAAAAAATGTGTGTGTGTATTACAGAAAGGATCATCATTCTCTAAACCATTTCCCATTATCTGGGGTCAGCGCAGTAAATCTTCTTGTTCCATTCCTCTCTATCAGCCGTCATTTCCATACTTACTCCTTTCATTCTCATATCACTCTTCACACAATCGATCCATCTTTTATTCGGCCTTCATCTGCCCGTGTGTCCCTCCACATTCATATTCAACACTCGTTTTGTGACATGACTTTCATCCCTCCGCATCACATGCCCAAACCATGCCAATCTGCTTCCTCTTACCTTTTCTACCACTGGCGCTACTTTCAGGCTTCCTCTTATATACTCATTCCTTATCTTATCCATCCTTGTCACACCACACATCCATCGTAACATTCTCATTTCATTCGCATGCAATCTATTTTCATCCTTCTTCTTGACGGCCCAGCATTCACTTCCATACATGACGACAGGTCGGATGGTCGATTTGTAAATTTTCCCCTTCAGCCTTATTGGCATTCGGGGATCGCACGTTGTGGCTGTGACCTGTCGCTATTTCATCCACCCTGCGTTAATCCTATGCTGCACAGCTCTATCTATTTCGCCGTCGCCTTGAATGAGGGAACCGAGGTGCTTGAAATCTGAGCAGGTAGGCAGTATAGCGCCATCCAACGACATGGGTACAGGACTGGAAAGACCGCCGAAATCACGGCAAAGATATTCGGTTTTGGATCTGCTGATCTTCAAGCCAACACTTTCCAGCCTCTGTTGCCACCCCGTCAGTCTGCTCTGTACCTCGATGCCTTCTTCCCTGACAAGCACGATGTCATCGGCAAAGAGCATGCACCAGGGTGCCTCATCCTGCAGGTCCGACGTCAAAGCGTCCATAATCAGTAGGAAGAGGTAAGGGCTCAATGCCGACCCTTGGTGCAGCCCTACAGCCACACCGATACTGCCCGTAGTTCCCGCGGCAGATCGTACACATGTACGGGATGCTCTGTACATAGCACGGACTAACCTCACATACTTCTCAGGCATACCTTTCATCTTTAACGCCCACCACAAAACCTCACGGGGAACCCGATCGTACGCCTTTTCAAGGTCGACAAAAAACCATGTGCAGATTTTTATGCACGCGCTTGTACTTTTCGCACAATTGGCGTAATGCGAAAATGGCATCTGTCGTACCTCGACCGGGCATGAATCCGAACTGGTTTTGTGTTATCTCACACTCTTCTCTCATTCTTCTCTCTATTATTCTTTCCCAGACTTTCATCGTGTGTGACATGAGTTTTATTCCCCGGTAACTGCTGCAGTTTTGAACGTCTCCTTTGTTTTTAAAAATGGGGACCAGTATACTACTGCACCATTCCTCAGGTATTTGTTCTTCCTGCAATAATTTACCGAAAAATAAACTCAACCACTTCCATCCATCCGCACTCAGCAACTTCCACACTTCTAGTGGTATTCCATCTGGGCCGACCGCCTTCCCATTCTTCATATTCCTAACAGCCATTTTTACTTCTTCCACACTAATTTCTCTCATTAAGCCCATATTCACTGGTGGGTTTTCAAGCATATCATTCCATTCATTCTTCTCATTCATCAATTTCTCAAAATACTCCTTCCATCGCTTCTTTATACTTTCATCGTCAGTCAAAATCCTTCCAGAATCATCTTTTATACATTTTACATGTGAAACATCTCTTCCATTCCTTTCTCTCGCTCTTGCAATTTGAAAAAGTCGTTTTTGACCTTCGGGACTTTCAAGGGACCGATATATTTTATCTTGCGCCTCTGCCCTACAAATAGCAACTTCCTTCTTCGCTCTCTTCTTACATTCTTTATACGCCCCCTCTCTTACTTTCTTTTATGGATTCATTCTGGTCTTCTACGCTCTGCTATTCTTTAAAGGCATTTTTCTTTTCTCTCAAAACTTCTCTAATACTTTCACTCCACCACCACCCATCCTTATCTATCATACTGTTACGAGCTTGAGGTTCGTGACAATAAAAATTGCCGATAAAATTACCTAAATTAACACTTTAATTCTCTTTACACAAATTAAAACTTAAAACACTAATAATTAAACACACTAATTCACTTAATTCCGCTCCGAAGCTTCGCTCGTATCGCCAATTCAATACTACTTCGTTCGCATCTTGCAGCGCCTATTTATTTAAATTAGCAAAGAAATATCCAGAATGTTCAAGTAAACACGCGCAAGGTACCGAGCGTTCGAGTTTCGACTAGGCGCTGTCGGTTGAAAGATTTGTGACGTCATTTTCTGCAAAGCTCCCCTCGCTCTCGTTCCTGACACTAGATGGCGCTAGTGTATGACGTTGAGCGCGTAACAATACGCTTCCCTTTTGTTTCTCCTAACACCTTCCTTGCCACACTTCGGATACAATCAGCCATTTCCTTCCAGCACTCATTCACACTCATTCCTTCCATATCACCCTACTCTATCATCTTGTTTACAACTAGCTCTCTAAATTCGCTTGCATACTCCTCCTTATGCAAAAAATGCCACTTTATTTTGGGTGGGGAACGATCCTTATGTTTGTTGAAGCGAACAGTTAAGCAGATGTCAGCCAGCAGAATTCGGTGCTGGGATACTAAGTCTTCACCTGGAAGCACTTTGCAGTTTTTTACACTCTTAATTTGGTTCCATCTTATCAGAAAATAGTCGATCTGTGTCGCGTGGTGGCCACTTTTATAAGTAACAAGATGCTGATCTCGTTTTTGGAACCACGTGTTTACTACAGCCAGGTCGAAAGCACATGCTGCTTGCAGAAGAACTTCCCCCTCCCGGTTCCGCACTCCGTACCCCCATCCACCGTGTACTCTTTCATACCCGTTATTCACTCTCCCTACATGTCCATTAAAATCTCCTCCCATATAAACATCCTCACTCTAAGGTATTCCCACCATCATACAATCAAATTCCTCCCAAAACTTCTTTTTCACACCCTCTTCACAGCCCGTTTGCGGAGCATACACACTTACAGCATTCACTACTTTGTTTTCAATCATTAATTTAACAACTATCATTCTGTCATTTACTCTTTTCACATCTGTCACTCGTTCTTTCATTCCACTATCTAACACAACTCCTACTCCATTTCGCTTCCCATCACTTCCACAATAATAAAACTTGTATCCTTCCCCAATCTCTCTTGCTTTATTGCCCTTCCATTTTGTTTCCTGCAAACAGGCAACATTCACTCTTCGTCGTTTCAAAACATCTGCTAACTCTCTTCCTCTTCCAGTCATCGTACCTACATTCCAGCTTGCAAACCTCACTCTGACATTCTTCTCTCTCCGGGCTCGCCTCTTACGTCGCACTCGCTCCGTAAGGTGCGACAACCCGTGCCCACTTCCCACAGGAGCCGGGTGCTGCCCCTGCGCGTCGCCTGCGGGGTACGCCCTAGCCCTGTCATATATCCCACAACTCATACTATTCATAGGTTTACGGCATGGGATTCGGCAAAAGTTTTACAGTCGGCCGCCTGCCTGACACCAACCCTCTTTGGGTATGCTATTGTTGGTAGAGGAAGCTACCATTTTGGGAAAAGGAAAAAGGAGGTTGGGGGGTAGAAGCGTAGGTGTAAGGATACTGTTATCTCGGCAGGAAAGGTATGAGAATAACAGTAGCTCGGGGAGCCGGGGTTGCGTACCCGTATTCCATAACAGGATCACCGGAAAGGTAGACCAGCATGAAAACCCCCTGACGATTGTATTACAGAAAGGATATCGCGATTTATTATTATGAGCACTGGAACTACACTAAACGTATTATAAATACACATTACATGAAGGCACACTCGTGCACATTCACACCACTATATAGTTATTTTATTTTACCTACCTACCTTTTATCCAGAAGTCTGCCATCCTCAAGTGCTCCGCGCCGCCCCCGAACGCTGCGTGTTTCATCCTTACAAGCCCTGCTCAGAACCCTGCGCCTGCCATTCTCATAAGCTCTGCGCCGGACGCTGCAACTGCCATCCTTACGAGCTCCGCGCCCAACGCTGCATCTGCCATCTTCACGAGTCCTACTAGAGATGCTGCGTCTGCCATCCTCACGAGCTACACAAACTACGCTGCGTGTCCCGTCCTCACCAGCCCTGCTACTATGCTGCATCTGTCACCCTTACAGGCTCCGCGCTCAACGCTGTGTCTGCCGTCCTCACGAGCTCCGCACCTGATGCTGCGACAGCGGTCCTCAAGAGTCCTCAGATCACCAGCCTTGCTACATACAGATGCTGCATCTGCCACCCTCATAGTCTCCGCGCCCAACGCTGTGTCTGCCGTCCTCACGAGCCCTACTACAGATGCTGCGTCTGCCATCCTCACGAGCTCCGCGTCCGACGCTGCGTCTACCGTCCTCACAAGCCCTGCTACAGATGCTGCGTCTGCCATCTTCACGAGATCCGTGCCGGACGCTACGTCTGCTGCATGCTGGAACTCCACACCACCAGTCACAGAAACAAATTTCTCAGGTATATCGCTCCGAGATGTTCCCAGCACATCTTTTGCGACTGAACTCAACAATAATGTTTCACCTACAATGGAAATGTCCAACGAAGTATCAAGTATTCCAAACTCCGCGCCAAACTTCGTTCGATCTTATGTTTCCCAACAACCGTTGGACGTTCTTCCAGGTACATCTTTGGGAACCGACGCTAACAACAATAAATCGTCCTCATTTAGAATCCGCCGTCCAGCAAAGAAAAATTCTTATATAGATTATATGTCAGACGATGACATAGCTTTGTTAAATTCCTTTGGCGATGCAGGAAGCTCAGATGAGTGGGAGCCGGAAAGAAACGGAAAGAAAAGGAAACAAATGACTATTAACGTCATAGAAGAGTTTATTGGTAACAATGAGACGAAAAAGGTTAATAAAAATAAGAGGAAACAGGCTGCTCAAAAACGGTTATCTGGTCAGAGTTACATTAAAACAAACGGAGAAATTCTTCAAGAAAAAAAGTCCAACCAAACCCTTGTGCGGGTAAGAAATGTGGAAACAACTGCAGAGATATAACGGAAGAAAGAAGGATAAGTATTTTCAAGCAATTTTGGAGCCTGTCAGAACAGAGAGGAAAGGATTGGATCATCAGCCTAAACCAGAAAACTAATAATAAAAAGAAAGAGAAATAAGGATTCAGAAAAACGCACCATAACATACAAATACAATATTACGGATGGTGAAGCTCATCGACAAATATGTCTGCAATTTTTGTGCAAAACGATCGATGTGTCACACAAATATATTTATTATACCGTTTCAACTGCCGATGACTTTGGTAGTGCCAAAAAATCTGAAAGGGGTGAAAAAAACCAGCAACGATGAAATTACAGCGGTTGAAAACTATATAAAAGGATAGTACTCGAACATAACTTCCAGCAGAATACAAAAACTTAGCCAATTTATATAGAAAGTACAAAGAATATTGTAGCTTTCAAGGACTGACGGTTTCTGAGAGCATTCCGCAGTTCCGAAAAGTTTTCAATAAAAACTTTAATATATGCTATATTAAAGTTTTTATATAGCATATATTAAATATATCCATATCCTGAAAAAAGACAAATGCCTGAAATTTTGTCAGTATGAAAATGAAACTAATCCTACACCAAAACAATGAAGAGCTCATGAAGAACACCTTATTGAGAAAGACCACACATACAATCGCTACAAGATGCACAAAACTATTTATTTAAAAGACTCAGCACCCATTTGTATGAGTTTTGACTTACAAAAAGTCTTGAACACACCGTATGGTGATAGCATGTTATTATTTTATACACGCAAGCTGGCCGTTTACAATGCAGTTATTTACGAAAATGGTACGCGCAATGTTTATTGCTATTATTGGGACGAAATCCAGGGTAACCGCGGTGCTAATGAGATGGCTACAATATTAAGCAAATACATAACGAAGCTTGATGAACGCGGAAATGTAAGACGACTTCTTATTTATTGTGACTGCTGTCCCGGTCAAAATCGGAACAAGATAGTTTTTGCAATGCTGAACGAGACTCTGCAACGATGCAGAACTCTTGAATCTATTCAAATAAATTTCTTACTTACCGGCTTATACCTACATGACAGTCGATTCGGTACATGCTACTATTGAAAACCAGGTTAAAAATACCACTATCTGGGCTCCTTCCCAGTGGTATACGGTATTCCAAACAGCAAGACAAAATCCAAAGCCCTTTCATGTTGAGTAGTTAACTCACAAAGATTTTAAGAAATGGGACTACTCGCGGACAAGTATTTCGTGGAAAATCTTGTGGGTAAAATAAGTGAAATACGAGTCACGACTTTCAAAAAGAATAGTATATCAGCAACGGTAAAATGCTCTATGAATCCGGAAACACCTATGTCCTGTATTGAAATCGCCTCCAAAACAAAGTTTCTTGACTTACCGGACTGCTATCTTACACCCCTACCAATTACTGAAAATAAACACAAATATTTATTAAAGCTTTGCTCAGACCAAGTTATACCACAACAATTTCATGCAGAGTACTTAGCTTTAACTTTCAACAAAAAGGTGAAAGATACTTTACCCGATACTGACATCGAAGATAATGTTGACCAGTATTTAACTTATCTGTAACACTATTTTGTGATGACTGTGCCTTAATTTTCTTCAGGTTATTGCGTACCAAAGACCTACTTTAATTAATCTTCTGGAGATCCCTTATGAAGACTGATTAAGTAAATAATTGATTTTAATATTGAACTCGATTTGCTGATAAGTAAGTAATTGTAAACAATAGACCTGTTGTTATGAGGTCGATTTGTTTGAAAACCACTAAGTATTAATAGTTCCTTTAACCTTTCTACTCTTTATAATTATTTTTACCAAAGAAACTTTCGTAATAGTAGCTATATATAATTACATGGTAAATGACTGAACAGTCACTACGCATGACAATGCACGGTGCCTAGTTGTAAGTAAAAATAAATATTTCAAGATAATTATATTATTGTTGCCTTGAAGGCTGTTATTATTTTGTCAAAGATTATGAGTACTGTTATGTCCAACCCTAGTTAGATAAAAGCGCTGACTCGATTATTATATTTATTATAAAAGCCTAGAGTTTGAGGTAATCGAGGCAGTGCAGTTCCAACCCATATTAAGTGCATATCGCACACGCCGTTCGCGGCTTTTGTACATTTCTTGTATTAATTTAATATTGGGGAAATAAACCAAAAGAACTTCTGGGATTGGGTGTAAAAGTTTTTTTTAAAAACACCTTCAGAGCGGCCCTCCTAACAAATTTGGTGTCAGAAGTGGGATGTCGCAAGGTCTACCGGTACATCAGTAGCGTGGCATCCGAATCCTGGGAAACTCTGAAGTGAAAGATCGACAATAAGTCTCCACCCCACGAGTGTGAGCCTGCATCATCAAAGCACCAACGAGGTCTCAGCCCCACGAGCTTGGGACACCATCGTCAACCCGAAGTTCATCAAGGCTGTTAGTCTACACCACCAGCGTGTGAGCCTGCCCTGAGCTGCTGCACTCCCATCGCACAACTACGTGGACGCCGCCGTCAAACGACTCCCTGGGTCTCACGGCAACGCGACTCCGCTGCACGTCATCGCAACACGACACCGGCATAGCAACCAATGTACACCGTAGTGATCGTGATATTGTAAGTTAGGTAACTTTAATTTAGCTATAATTTTATACTATTCCTCTTCTATTTCCTTACATTCTTTTGTCATTTGTCGTGTACAATAATATTCTCATTTTACCAATTTTGTATTTACTAACTCCTAAATCTTTCTAATTCCATATGCATAAGTTTAAAACTTTAAAGGACAAACCCGAAGAAATAGAAATGTCCGACAAAATTCCCTTATCCGTCCTTGTAAAATTCATCAAACCTTACAATGGTGATAGAGAATCACTTCCGGCTTTTCTCACAAATTGTGATAACGCCATAGCACTCGCGAACTCGGAACAGCAAGCAGTTTTATATCGTTATATCATATCCCAATTAGAAGGAAAAGCTCAAATCGCGTGCTCCCTAAAAACGTTTAATAGTTGGGATGAATTAAAACTATTTCTAAAAACTACCTTTGGCGAGAAGAAACACTCCACACACCTTTTAATTGAACTCCAAAATTGTAGGCAAGGAAATTCGGAAACAGTAATGCAATATTCACTTAGAATCGAATCTTGTTTAACGCGATTACAATCCGACATACATTACAGTCGCGAGAATAAGTCCGAGCTAGTAGGAAGAATTGCCGCTATGGAGGATTTAGCCCTCAACACATTTATATTAGGTCTAAATTCTAATTACGGATATATTGTTAGATGTCGAAACCCGAAGAATTTAAGCGAGGCAATTACGCATGCCATAGAAGAAGAAAAACTATTCATTCTGAGCAAAATATCTTCCAAATCTTATAAACAGTGTTCTATATGTCAAAAATTTGGTCATGATTCTTCTAACTGCTATAATCATAAGAAAAAACAATCTCGTCGAGCTTATTACGTTAATCCACAAAATAATAACCCTCATTCTAATTTTCATAATATTTCAAACAAAAATCCTATTAAAATATGCAGTTATTGTAAAAGTCCGGGACATATGATAAACGAATGTCGAAAGCGACAATATAACAATAGCCTTCGTCATAATATGCAACCAGACACTCGCACGACGAATACGTTACCAAATCCCAGTGCGCATGCACCTAATAGAAATAATATGCATTTATGTGACGCACAACCTTCTACCTCTAATGCCGATATTAGTAATGAAGATTTAAACTAAATCTGATTTCGGAAAAGTGCCTACCGAAATCGAAAGCATTTAAAGGCACAAATAATTATTGCTATTCTACTAATTCTTATACTAAATCTTATATTAAGCCTATATACAATGATAACGAATTTAGTTATAATTATCGTACAAAATATTCTTACAATACATCTCAGCGACGTCAAATGCCGCCGAGTCCTACTAAATCATGTAATTTAAAAAATACTATTTCTTATTCTAATTCTACACCTCGGGAACAACATCCGAGTCCATCTTTTACACAAAGTCAAAGTCATAATACCAATTATTTATTACCTCGGGAAAATCATCCCAGGACACCTCTGAATCAACATCAGAGTCTTAGAAATAATTTTAATGCTAATTCTTTTACTAATTCTTATACTAATTCTTGTACTAATTCTTATACTAATTCTGTCTCTCATAATGATACTATCTCTTATCCAAAATATACATCTCAAAAAGGAATTTCGAGTCATGCTAATCCTACTGATAATTCAATTAATAATAAAGGAGAAATACCAACATATAACATGAACACATCGAATAAGAAAACATCACTACCTCATGTTTATTTTAGGTCGAATTTTTCGGTTCAACCCCTACGATTGTTACTCGACACAGGTGCAAGTGTCTCTATTATAAAAAAATCGAGTTTAAATGGAAACTTTAAGCTTTCTGATGAAATCGTAAAACTCAAGGGTATAAACAGCACTCAATCTTGCAACGAAACATTAGGAACATTACTGTTAGATTTTATTTTAGATAATTTTTCCATAAAATATAAATTCCATGTCACATCCGACGATATTAATATCGATTATGACGGAATATTAGGAAGCGACTTTCTCAATTATTTTAAAGTAAACATTGATTATCATACTTATTCACTTTGTTTCAAAAATTCTATATCTGTGCCTATCCACTTTTCGGAACCTACATACATTATACCAGCGCGTAGCGAAACTGTTATCGAATGCTCCGTGTCAAATAACCCATCCGAGTTGCGTCACCTTAAGGATGCACTCATACTAGATCAAACCGTTTGTAATGGTGTTTATTTAGCGAACTGCCTAGTAACTTTAAAAGCGAATAAAAGAGTTAATGTTTCGGTTTTAAACACAACTGAATCGCAAATTAAAATAAAAAATTTCAAAGTTAACTTAACACCAATTGACTTTAAAGAATATTCCAAATCTTTTGAATCTTATAATAATGTAAATACTATTTCTACAACTTATTCTAATCGTGTCCAACGCGTCTGCGAACAAATTCGTCATTCTCATTTAAACTCAGAGGAAAAAAAACTCTTATTAGATTGTTGCTCACAATACTCAGACATATTTTATCTTGAAGGAGATGACCTCACATGTACAAACGCGATCCAACACTCAATCAATACAGGAAACACCCCTCCTATTCATGTTAAGTCATATCGTTTTCCCGAATGTCATAAAGACGAAGTAGACGCACAATTAAAAAAGATGTTAAAACAAAATATTATTAAGCCGTCAATATCTCCGTGGAGCGCCCCAGTGTGGGTCGTGCCTAAGAAAATGGACGCATCGGGCAAAAAGAAATGGCGCATTGTTATAGATTACAGGCGACTTAATGATGCGACCATAAACGAAGTTTATCCAATTCCTTTAATTAGCGATATATTAGATCAATTAGGGCATTCCAAATATTTTTCGACACTCGATTTAGTTTCCGGCTTCCATCAAATTCCTCTCAATCCTAAGGATGCTGAAAAAACTGGTTTTACTGTAACTAACATAAATGGCATTTCCGGTCATTTTGAATTCACTCGCATGCCTTTTGGATTAAAAAGTGCTGCAAATTCGTTCCAACGTCTCATGAATACCGTCCTTTCTGGTCTCCAAGGTCTCCACTGTTTCGTCTACCTAGATGACTGCATCATTTACAGCCACGATCTTCAAAGTCATGTGGAAAAATTACGTCTTGTTTTTGATAGGTTTCGAGACTTCAATTTAAAGCTACAACCAGACAAATGCGAATTCCTTCGACACGAAGTCACTTATTTAGGTCATGTAATAACCGACAAAGGTGTCATACCTAACCCTGACAAGGTGAAGGCAGTATCCGACTACCCTATTCCCAAAAATCCCAAGGAAATTAAATCATTTCTAGGTCTAGTAGGTTACTACCGCCGATTCATAGATAACTTCTCAAAAATTACAAAACCCCTTACGTCATTGTTAAAAAAAAGATGTTAATTTTAATTGGACACAAGAACAAACCCAAGCTTTTAATTTGTTAAAGGAAAAACTAACTTCAGCTCCATTACTTCAATACCCCGATTTTTCTCAACCATTCATTGTTACCACAGACGCCAGTAATTATGCTGTCGGCGCAATATTATCGCAAGGCCCTATCGGAAAAGACAAACCGATCGCGTATGCCTCAAGAACATTAAATAAACAGGAAGGCAATTACTCAACAACAGAAAAAGAATGTTTAGCTATACTCTTCGCCGTAAAAACATTCCGACCCTACATTTATGGTAGTAAGTTTAAAATAGTCACTGATCACAGACCTTTAGTCTGGCTTTTTAATGTCAAGGATCCAGGAAGTAGATTAATTCGTTGGCGCCTCAAGTTAGAGGAATATGACTATGAAATTTTTTATAAGCAAGGAAAACAAAATTCAAACGCCGATGCTCTTTCACGCATACCCATTCACGCCTTAAATTCAAATGTAGCCCTTAACAAACTCAAATACGAATTTTATTTTAAAAAACAATTTACTAGCTCCATTTCTACAAATACTGTAATCGAAGAACATCAAGAAGCGTTAC